AAAAAAATGAACAAAACCTGACAATACCCTTGGTACTGATAGTAATTAGCACGTTGAAACGTAAATTTAAACTGTATTTATTAGATAGGCTAAAAATATGTGATAAATAACATTTAGTTTGGAGATTCACGTTTTATAAATCATTATATTCAATTTAATTTAGACAAGTTAATTTAAGATTTAGATATAGATTTCGTTATTTATTTTATAATAGATTATTAATTTTAAATGTGCATATATATTATTATATATTATAAGGGATGTAAGGGGGCACACACCATCACAGCTCTTATTGTCAACCTCACCTGCACGCGGTACATCCTGCAGTAACCGACGAGGCTCTGGCGACCGGTAGTAGGCGGTATAGCCCTTCCCCACATTGGCGTTGTCAAATCTGCTGGCTACCGATGGGCAGCAGCGTCGGTAGTACAAAGGCAGCGCCCTGCGATCTCCAACCCGCATGCCCAGCGTGGAGATTATGGGCAATAACCCCCTCCATGGACGGCACAACCAATACATTAGGGGAGGCCTATGTCCAGCAGTGGACTGCAATAGGCTGATGATGATGTGATATATATTATTAAAATTTAAGATACGTTTTGTTGATTCGTTGTCGGTGGCGTCCACTCCGTTCCTCGACCACCATAGAATATTAGCGTTGAGTTGTTTTGCATGCACAACCCGACAAATGCTGAGTGGTGACCATTTTGAATCTCAATGTGTAATATTAAGATTTACTTTGTATTACTAGTAGAGGCCAAACAAATATTATTTTATTTCTTTCTTCTTTCTTGATAGTTGGACAACTAATTAGAAGCAACGTATAACTGATGTTCAAAACTTAAATTTTAAAACTAAAATACACTTTTCACAAGGTAGTTATAATATGCAATTTGCTGCCTTTTCTTACTTATATAGTTAGCTTACCTTAGATCTGGCAAAATTATTAAAAATGGGTTAAAAGAAGAGTTGCGATGCAGTAACAAGAAAGATTTAGTGAATTTTAAAACGAGAATGGACGTACCGGACCATCGCTGATCATTTAGAGTGTTCCGTAAAGATGGTATTTAACGCCATTGCACATTTAAAAAACATGAAACATCGGATAAGGTGCCAAGAAAAGATCGGCCAACGAAGACCACTGCTCAAGAAGATAGGCTTATGATTCGTTTAGCTAAGACCCCTTTAAAAGTTCTAATGTCAGTAGAAAAGAGGTATTTTCAAAAAACGACATTCCAAACTTGCCTGCAAGACTAGTTCGTAGGCGGTTGATGGAAAATTGTTTGGAAGGGTTGCCAGTAAAGCACCACTTCTTAGCAAGCAACATCTAACTTTTTTTTAGAAAATATGGCAGTTGGACTGTTCATAAATGGAATAAAAGGTTTGTTTTGCGATGAAACTAAAATAAATTTGGTAAATTCCGACGGGAAACGATATTTACGAAGACCAATAACGAGGCTTTGAACAAGTACACTATAAAGACAGTTACGCACGGTGGTGGAAATGTTAAATGTGAGGATGATTTCCGGAAGACGGGACTGGTCCCGTGAGAAAGATTGAAGGTCTGGTGGATCAGTATCAGTACAAAAATATCTTAGAGGAGACAATGATCTCATATTCCGATGAATAATTGCCAGTAACTTGGATATTTCAGCACGATAATGACCCAAAGCATGCAGCACACGGCGTTAAGGCGTTTCTCAGAGAACAATTGGTGACAGCGTTAGAATGGCCTGCCAATAGTCCGGACTTAAATCCAATCAAAATTTTTGGCACACTATAAAGACAACATTATCGCATAAACATATCACCAATATCAACTTTACTATGCTTTTGTAGAATCTTGGAGATATATTTCTTTGAAAACAAGTGAAAAATTTATAGAATCAATATCGCGTCGTTGTAAAGCTGTAAGCGACAACAGAGGCTACCCTACCAAATACTAATCAGTTTTGGATCAAGTACTTATTAAAATTATTTGGGGTTTTCTTCACTTTGCTCATGATTTTACTGTTGATTTTGTTTTGTTTGATTTAATTTTGTAAAATTATCGATATTTGTTATTACTAAACTGGTATAATAATGCATTTTATGTGCCGATACATCGTCGTATATACGTAGGAGCTCTCTCTAAACACGCTAAAATGAGTTATTAAGATAATTTGTAATGACAATAGAAGTCAAGGTCGGTGTTTCTAATTATATGACCACCACTGTAAATGACAAAGAGAGCTTAATTCGTTCCTCAACAGCTTAACTCAACTACTTTAGGCGATGACTATTACGTCAAACGTCAATAGTACTTATTCGTACTATGGTTGCTTAAATTCGCTGCTCTCTGATCCGCTGTGCTACATAATCAACTTTTAGACATACGAAACAGAGATGCCAATGTTGTATATATGTTTGTGCAGGTGACGCGAGTGACGCCCGAGCGCGATTCGTCGACGGAGAGCAGCAGCCCCACCACGCCCACCAGAAGCTACTGCCCCACCTCGCGATTCCGCGTCGTACAGGTACGGTGGATCTCGCCTACAACACCAAACACTCAAGCCCAACGACGTATGAGATTCACCATAACGTTCTTTTCAGGTCGCAGAGCCACCAAAGATACACGTCCACACGGTTGAGCCCCGCCGTTCACGCTTCTCCGTCACCAGAAACTACGACACTACTTACAATCCCACGTTGTCACCTGATAGCAGTGTCGGCTCCCCAGCTTCTGGAACCTCTAGCCCTGCTCCAGAACTCCCTGGGCACGATTTGGGACCAGTTAAAAACGATAATGAGCATAACTCAGATACTCGTAGATTTAGTAAAGAAAATGCGTCTTCTACGAACGCAGCAGGAGCTACGGAAGAAAATGTTACAGGAACAATAGATAAAGGTGATAATGCTACGAATCGCAGCGCCCCCGATAATTCTACACATAGAAATCACGATACAACAGACTTACATGTCAGTGTTAGTGACGTTAATGCCAAATATGATAATTTGACAAGTGTTCATGACAATTTGACTAGTGTTAAAGACAATCAGTCAACTGCCGAAGACAATTTGTCAAGTGTTAATGATATGAATGATAGTGTTAGAACATATCACGATAAACAAGAACAATTAAGTCATAAGGCGTGTGTGGACACCGGTAACGGTGAACCAGTGTTAAAAACTGAAACTAAATTAGTTAAAAACAGTACTGAAGTGAAATTAGGTGAAAAAGTTGACACTAAAATAGATGTAACTATAAACAGTGAAATAAATCTAGATAAATCAGCCAAAGTACATTATGACCAAATCACCAAGCAGGTAGATGAAAAACATAAAGACGGTGAAGCTATGAGACAGATTGAAGCAATCACTGAAGATTTAGGCAATTTAATACAAGAAATGAAGGATCTATCAACTAAAACTGCTGTATTAAAGAAAGATAGTGTAAAAGTACGCAATGACAGTACTCAAACTGTAGGTATAGATATAGGTATAGAGAAAATAGACACATTAAAAACAGTACCTGGTAATGATATACGAGATAATGTAGTTCTTAAGAAAAATAAAAGTGAGTCGAGCTTGGATAGTCCAGATTTGGAAGTGTCGAGGCTGATGAACAAAAAACTAGTTGGAAGTCCGTTCTGTGACAGTAATTCATCATTAGAAATTTCAGGTAGTTCTATGGAAAGTCTCAATTTGGACCATACTCAAGTTTCGAAGCCAATAATAATACAAGAATCTGTACAATTTGATAGGGAACTTGATAGACGAAAAACTGCAGTAGCATTATCAACAGAAAGCAGTATTGAGTCCAATACTAGTGAAGTCACCCCAGTGAATATTGCTTACTTGAACACTTCTGTAAGCTCAACTGAGAGTGTTTCCCCTGTCTTTGGAAAGAATAAAAAAATCCACGGTTCGCTATCCAGTTTAGAAGCCAGTGTTAGTTCTATGGATTCTAAACAAATGATGGTAACATCGGCAGACTCAGGTATTGAACATTCACTACAACATCCAGAAATGGATTCGTCAAACGAAGGTACATTGACCAACAATTCAAGTTTCAAAGACGTAAAAAAGTCCGATGCACTGCACGATACTTTAACTTCTCAAAAAAGAGCGTCAAGTTTGCTTGACGTGCCAGCGTTAAAAAGTAAAAGTATGGATCGAATGAGAAAGATTTCCTGGGTAGCGCCGTCTCCAAGCTGCAACATACCAAAGCCCGAGGCAGAAAAACAAGAAACGAAGTTGCCTTCACATTTGGAGAAGTTGCTAAGCTTATTTCAACATCCAACTAGTTTATTCTCCAGAAGTACTAATGAAGAAGAAAAAAAATCTGCTTCCAACACTCCTCCTAGAAAAGATTCTTCGTTAACCAGTTCGTTTTGGTCGTGGGGAAGTGCTACAGAGAAAGACAATACGAAAGATGAAAAAGATGACTCCTCTGAGACTACCGATTCGACTCTGTCAGAACGCATTCAAGTGTCTTTTGTAGACGAATCGTTCTCAAAGAAATTGGATAGTAAAACTCCCTCAACGGACACAGAGAACACGTTAAGCGAATTCCAATCAATACAAGGCAATTCTGACAGCGAATTGACGGAAAGAGTTACCAAAACCACCGATGAAGTACAAATAGGTATAAGCAGCTGTGATAACACAGCTTGTGATAATAACGATCTCACAAAAATTAAATATGATGAAAACGACATAGGAGATTCAAGAAAAATCGACGATGCAGACATAATAGAAGAATTCAAAGAAATACGACCAAGGACATTTGCTGCGGTACTCAAATCTTCTGGATCTGAAAATTCTTTGGATAAACAGACAAGTCCTGAAGGGTTACCTGTTGACAAACTATCTAGTAAAGTTATTAGAGGCATCAAAGAAAACATAAGTCCAGAAAATACATTGACATCCTCTATGACTAACACAAAGACGTTAGCACTGGATCTTTGTGATCGCCAGATCAAAAACCCTATAGTTAATGCTGTATGGGAATTAACGACACCTCTATTAGAGAGTAGAGACGACATGAAAGCGCCGATAGCAACTATAGAAGAAACCTGTGAAGTACCATTAGAGTACGACGACATAAAATTCATTGACGAAAAAAATGTGTCCACAGATAGTGGAGTGACGTCTCTTGACGGTGCTAACGACGATAAAAAGTATGAAATTAAAGAGACATCAGAAATTATAGACTTGGGTAAAGATGCACTGTCCTATCTCATATTCGAAAAGCAGGATTTTGAACCTGACACTGAAAATTTAGCTGAAATTAAAACAGAGCAAAGTTCATTAGCTCAAGAGTTGAAAGAAGCAGAGATAAAGGAAAAGCTACTTGACATGTCACCAGAATTAGTCATCGATGAAGCAGTCGAAGTGCCAGTATACTTAAAAGACTTGAAGCGCACGTCTCCAGTCATACCTGACCGAGCAAAGTTAAAAAAGGCCAATTCCTTAGAAGACTTACCGAGCGAAAAAGAAAGTCCGAAGACGAAGTCTATAGCTTTCAAAATCCCGGAGACAACACCACAGGATATACCGGAACGAAGACCTAAATTGCGAAGTAGAAGTGGTTCTAGTCCCAAATCTTTACCTGAAAGTTTGAATAAACCTTGTCCATTAATGAAAATGGAAGGAAAGAAAAAGAAAAAAGTTTCGTCTCTTGGAAAGATAGCGAGAGATTCCTTACTAGCGTTAAATATGTCTGAAGAGGAGTTGAACGAGTTTCGAAGATCTTATAAACTCACATCAGTTGAAAGTCTTAGATCTTTAGAATCAGTGTCAGAGGATGCGTGTTCACAATCAGGGACTTCAATAGACTCCCGTTGTAGATCCTGCTTACGTACTTCACAGGAAAGTCTAATGTCTCTGGACAGTATTACGGAAGATTGCAAATGTACTGATGGTGATAAAGAAAAAGCTGGACGATCAGTTAGATAAAATAGGCTCACTGCTGAGTCTGTATCAACAAATATACGCCTCAATTTTGACTGTATCGTCTAATTACAAGATTTAGGTCAGAATCCACGCAGGCATAATGTGGGTTAGGAGACAAACATTGCTGGCATTTGCACCGAACTACCCGGCTTCGAAGAATTCCCCTGAGTACCGAAACTCAGTTGGAACAGTCAATGAAAAACTAGACCAGAACTAATTTCCTGAAATATGTCCGTTGGGCATAGAACTTCATCATTATCAAGTATTTAAAACTAAAGGACCAGTTTCTGCGGCCGTCTAGAAGATGTCATATTTGGGAATAGAGACAGTATTATGCTGCGAAACTAAAATATCATCAGGCAGGCTCCCTGATGAGGATATAACCTGTAAAGTTTGAAGGATCCTTTTTACCAAAAAGGTTGACATTTTGAGAATTAATTGCTGGTCGCCATAGAAACATCTGCATAGAATAACAAAGAGATTGTGTTGTTTAATTTTTCGTGGACTGTCCCCAGTAGAGGCGAGGTGTGCTTCAAACCAATATATACGTTATTATGCTGCGTATAAGATGTTAATTGGTTTCTACACAGCTCTTCTCTGCTATTCTTTGGTACATAACGGGTATTAGGTAGGGCCGCAGCGAGAGGAAAGAGAATAACTTCCCCTTTTTTCTGTCTTCTTCAACGAAAACCAATTTCGTTAACTGAGAGTAACACTCTAGAGGCAATTCTCCTTCCCCTCACCGCAATTTAACTAAGACATGAATTAACTGAAACTGTCATCTTATAACATGGTCTGTATATAAAAATAACTGGATTATGGCTGTTAGCAGTTTTTTAACTGCCGTTGTAAAAAATGTATGTATAATGTTAAAATTTTAAAAAACGGTGTTACTTCTAGTAGTTTCCATGATGGTCGCTATAAATAAATAATTAGATTTGAGCTGCAGGGCGGTCAAATAAATTGAAATAAAAACAATTGTTTTGTAATGTCGATTTGGTCTAGAGGGCGTAACGAACAACCGGGCCCGGAGTTGAGTGTCAATGGCAAGATGGCAATTCGTCTGTGGCTAACCTTAGAGCTAGTACTCAACTGCCATTGCAATATTTTGGCATCCTGCTCTTTAATGACAAACTGCCTCCGTGGCCGAACGGTTACCATGGACTGCCACGCAGAGGTCCCAGGTTCGATTCCCGGGCCGGGAGAAATATTTGTATGGCCTACATTTATTTCTCTCGTGAGTTTAGATGTAATTTGTGGTTGTCTACGAGTGTGTCCATGACGCCCGCGACACAGGGTTTCCCTAGTACGGGGCTATGTTGAGTGTGTGCGTTATTATTATTATTAATGACGTTTCGATGGCTGCAATTTGATGACTAAATTGGCGGTTAAACGAGATAAAAATTAAGATATGGTAAGAAATGAAACTATTTTCTGGATTTAAATCGCGTAATCGGTCACGGTTGATTGTCAACAGTGTCCATGGGACCTGTAAAGGGCCCAAGGTAAAAAACAAATATACGCGATTTAAATCCAGAAAAATAGTTTTCATTTCCTAACTATCTGTAACAATCGCGTAAAACCTAAGAACTCGATAAAATAATTTCATAAATTTCGTGGTCTCTTACTATGGGCCTCATAAAAAATTTCAAAGTCACTCAACGAGCTACGGGGCGCGCAGTGCTTGTCATTTCTCTACGTGATCGAATCAGAAATGAGGAGATCCGTAGAGGAACGAAAATCACCGACATAGCTCAAAGGATTAGCAAGTTGATGTGGCAGTGGGCAAGACACGTAACTGGTAGAACTGACGGCCGTTGGGGCAGAAAATGGAGACCACGCATCCGAAAGCGTTCAGTGGAACGTCCCCTACTAGATGGACGGATGACCTGGTAAGGGCGGCGGGTCCGATCGGCTAGTTTGTAAATCTTTGCGGGAGGTTTATGTTCAACAGTGGACGACTATCTGCTGAGATATTAAGATATAGTAACTTCCATGATAGTTTTGGGAAAACAACATTGATCGTTAGTGTTATTGAATTAATCAATGCCATTCTACTGACACTCCATTGAGGCTCAACTGCCAATTATTTCAAAAAAATTAATAGACTGGGCCACACAAATTAACAAAACTGCAACTCTGTCAAAAGTAGAATCACTGGCAACACCGAGACCAGTCAAACGAACTACTGGAGGTAATACCAAAAAGTTACAGAATGTTGTAATAAGAAGTTCTGTTTATTACTGCGCGGTAATGAAACTAGTGTTTGTAGAGAAAAACCACAGGGGTTGCGTTGATCTTTCTTTCGAATGCGTGCTTTAAAGGAATGGGTTGTAATTGGAATACCATATGGTCGGTTGCTAGGTTTCTTAATATCAGATCGTGTCCAAATAAGAAAATAACGAACAGACAAACTTGATATTAACAGACTGTAAGAGGAAAAAGACAAGCTGCAACAACAGCTTATGACATTTTTTAGAACGCAAATTTGAACTTAACAGTTTACGTAACTGTAACTTATGACTGCTAAAAAAAGCACCTTTTTTAATTTAACACTGTGTACGGTATAGATATATAGATATTCAATTATTTTTTTGTGAAATTACTCCAATGGTTTGTTATAATTATTAATACCAGGATCGACCACTTAGAAAAAAATATCTTCGATCCGGCCGGATTCGAACCAACGTCTCCTAGCAAACCATGCCAGACACTGCCAACTAAGCAACGGAACAAACCAGCGGACCTCACGAATTTTTCTATGTGCTTGTTGTCGGATCTTTGTATTTGGTTTTCAACGACTTTTTGCCACATTTTGCGACATTTTGCCTTAGCGCCATCTATGAGAAATCTATGAAAGTATTTCGTCACCATTTAAGTACCTTTATAACTACGCCTAACTAGAGATGTCGCCTTAATAATTGTAATATAAGTTTATTGAATGGCATGATGATTTACTACCGTGTTATTCGTTAATTTATGGAGTAATTTTATAAAAAAAAAATACTCAATTATTTTTTCCTTGGTTGCTGTCAGAAATCTTTCTTCAAATTAATTGAACCATTTATTCGCCACGCAAAATATTAAACGTAATTTATTCAGTGACATAAAAATTACTACAATTACATCATACAACCTTAACAATTACAATACCGTATATTTATTTACATAGCGTTCAAGTTTGCAACTAAAAATTGTTCATTTATCGATGCCTTACTTACTCAAACTCATATCTTATAAAGAGTGATTATTCAGGAGACGGCAAGTTTCTATTTATTTTAAAGGGTATTAATTTGGATGCATTACTTTAAAAATAGGTAAAAGCTAGTGTGTAAATATGAAAGAAATGTTTTATGAAAGCAGACCGTGTGTGCAATCCATTTCTTACATTTAAGTAACTTTTAAGATACGAGTTTAAGAAAGTAAGGCGATGTTATGCATCTCCTTGTGCAGGCTCTTCTATTCTGGTTACTTAATCATAGCCACCGGTGACATTGAATATACAATATTTCTGGCTCGCTGTTCCTAATAATAATAAAGAGCTTTATTTATCTAGATTCATATAAAAATTTAGCCTTAACATTGTCTGTAGTTACATTTATTATATAGATAAAAAACTAAAACCACTATTTCTACCAACTATAATGTTAAATTCGCCACATGAGAAACAAAAAAATTACGTCTATACTCTGTCTTTTTTGTAGATTGAGTAAAATCGATCCCTCCTACGTAAAGTTTACGTAGGAGGGGTCGATATGACATTTGCAGGGTTGCTAGTTTTCATCGACACAAAAATTGACAATTCGAATGAATCTGTGCTCCACAGTTGGGCAAATAATGTACCGAAGATGATTCAAATGAAACAAGCTTGACTATTTATTGCATAAGTAGGACCAACGTTCAATCATTACTCGATAGAATATTTATCGACTGTAATCACTAGCTGCTTGCAAGCGGGCAACACTTGCTCAATTTTATTCGATCTTCAAAAAAGACAGATTATAGTTAAGTTTTATTGTTATTATTATTATTATTTAGTATGTATTAGTAATTAGAAAATCGACTCATCCGAAGAACAGAGTCCGACGTGATTATATAGCGAAAAGAGAATAAGTACGCCACGAGAACAATTTCGTATTCAAACTGCGGCCTATGTAAAGGTGTTTTGAGAATTTATACATCTTATTTCGTTTCGGAAATATAAAATCGAACAAAGGTCAATCTGACATTCGAACGAAACGTACTATGTCCTGAAAACAAGTAGTCTTGCACATAGACCTTTGTTCTACGGATGAGTCGAAATATGCCTTCAATATGTTAGTATACTTAAACGTAAATATTCTAAATGAGTATGAAATTAATTAAATTCTAGAAACATGTTTAAACGGCCATACTGTTATAAGTTTGACAGTAGAAACAGTGGATTTTAGCGGTAACACGGCCGGAGATATAGAAAAATCAATGTTCTTCACCGCCTACTGAGTCTGAACTGGTTTTACGGCTCTGGGTACTTTGACCTTTGAGCATGTCATTTATAGTTTATGCAGTGTTGCTCAGTATTCGAGTCGATATGACCTTTTTTTTATGTCATAACGTTATCCTTTATTTGCCATATCGCAGACAAGTTGATAGCACTGTATTTTAGTCGAAAACAGAATTTTAATTGTGTTGACATAAATGTCGCTCAAAATCCATCATCGGTCACATCATCGCTTAAAATTAGTTGATATTGTGGTTGGTGTTGAAACCAATTTGATTTACCTTTGTTAGTTAGTTTATACAATAAGGGAATAATAATTTCAGATAATAATAATAATAATGACGCACACACTCATAGACCCGTACTAGCGAAACCCTGTATCGCGGGTGCTATGGACACACACAGAGACATCCACAAATTACACCCAAACTCACGAGAGAAATAAGTGTAGGCCATACAAATATTTCTCCCGACCCGGGAATTTCCGGGACCACTGCGTGGCAGTACAGCATGGTAACCGTTCGGCCCCGGAGGCAGTTGAAAGATTAATAATTACATGTAAGGTTTATATTCCCTTGTCAAGTGTTAAGTGTGTTGGCAATTAGGGCTATAGAACACCAAAAGTTGTGGATAATACATCGTCGAAGAATTTTCTAGAATTCTTCTGGGATGTCCAGCTGGTTTTGCAACCTCACCGATTTCGTCTACTGACTATATGAATGTTAATAGTCAATAGTCGATACAAGCGCCTTCATTTCGGGGTTCAAACGCAACTGGTCACTACAAACACTAGTTACGTGATAAATATTTGAACAGTAATCAATTAGAACAATATTATATATTGTGTTTATATAAATAAACAAATAATTCTATATGTCAAATTGATGTACAGAAAAAATAATGGTAAAATATATTGTAAATTTAATAATGAGTAAATACGTAGTTCTAAACGTAAATGTTGTATTTATTCATTCGTTCTCCGCCATTTTTTATTCGTTCCCCGCCATTTTTCATTCGTTCATGGTCACTGTGGATTGACTAGCATCGCATGTGAATTAGGAAACAATTTTTTGACAAGGAATAGAAAACGTTTGTTCTATGTATTCTTATATGTTCTACGTATCGTATGTTTACACTGGGTCGACTCGTCGAATTTCGAATATTTTCGAGACCTAGATTCCCGAGATGAAAACCCTAGCTAGCGTGACACAGACAGACAGAAAGCAAGTGCTGCAAACTTATATAACTCCCCTCTTTTTGCGTCGGGGGTTAAAAGATGTGACGTGTCTACACTACACAGCGATAGCTCAATAAAACCACGTTTAATTAGTTAATGTGCGCGTGCGACACGTCCGTTCACACCGATATCTAGGGTCGTAATAGCGCGGGAAGCGAACGAGCCGCAGCGTACCTTTATTTTCTACATACCACACGGGATATATTAATTTAAGTTAAATGTCTCTTTCAGCGTCCAATCGTCAATCGGTTCGAAAGCGAAACTGCTGCTTTTATTCTTAAACATAGGATCCTTTATCATGGTTTTATACTTTCTCACCAGCCAATCCTCGTATGTCAGGTTCAACAACGGGTCAAATTGTGGATGCATGTGGGGCGACCATTCTGAAATTATAATTAGTTGCCAATTAAAGTACGTGAAATAAACTGTGTTGCCAAATGGTTACATTTCTTACATTTTTAAATAGAAAACCACCGTGAGACTCGGGACGTATTAACTAAAAATAACGGACGTACTGGCGAGAGAAAAGCATTTCATTCCGCGGAGCATTTCATTATCGAGATTGGTCGTCATTCGAATTTCAATCGTGATAATGGATGATCGGTACCCCAATGGCTGGAAAACAGTGTAGACGAGACTTTAGAAAGTGACGTTGTTAGTGTAGTGTGCAATCCTGCATATGACTTTAATAAAAATGAAGCAAACGAGGGTAGATTCTCGCCGACGTCGCCTGCGCCCGCTGCCGTACTGAGTGATCGGGCTGCCAGGGCTTTGGCGCGCAGTTTTCGTCGAGTCACCGCCGCGGAATCTCATGATTAAGGACCACGAATTGGTTTGAAACAGGTCGAGCAAAAATTTCTTACATTTTTCGTAACTTGTCACCTTTTCGCGTAATATGTAAGTAACTTGTTCCAACTCCAAAATCCAACTATATTTGTTATTGTAAATCCTAAATAGTTTACGAACGCACCTAAATTAGAAAAAAAGTAACTCGGAGATGGCGGAAACGAAATTAATCAATTAGAAAGAAAGAAAGAAAAATTGTTTATTAGCGTCATAATTATGCCATATTACAATTTACAAATTTTACATTCTTAAGCCTAGATATAAGTATAACGCTAAACCGACGTCTACTCAGCATTAGTCGAGGCATTTTGCAACACCCCAACGCTGCGCTGGTCTTCCGGAGACACCGGCCAGTTATGAAGTACCACTACGCGCTGCAACGACACGCCGAACCATATAATATATGGTGACAAGTACGAACTCAATATAATGTAATAAAATACTTAACAGTTAAATGGTAAAAATATTAAATTAAATGTTCATTGGTATTGCAGGTTACTGGTTATAGCTTCATTTTTCTTGAGCATAGGCACTTAGGTGCTTTTTTATTTTTAGGATTCAAGCGTATACAAAATATTCTCTTATTATATCTATTACTTTTTTTTAAATGCACGTTTTGCAGCAAAAATGTAACTTTTCAGGTAATTAAATGTAATTTTCGACTCAAAGGCCCTGGCAATACAGGATTTAGAAATACTGAGACCATCGAGTATATAACCAGAAATAGAGACGAAATAAGGGCCACATGTTCCTGGTAACACATTAGCGAAACAGCTCTTATAAATATCAACTCTCGTTTGCACTGAAATATAGACAGGCCAAGTACTGACCTGTGTGTACGTCTCCGTATATTCCAAAAAAATATTATGTATTTATTGTAATAAAGATAATATCTCTAACAATGCCGTGTTGTTCTATTCGGTGGTGTGGGAAAATCAGCAAAACATCTAATTACAAACAAACGGAATCACATTTCATCGGTAATTAAATTTTAAATATGTAATTTTGCAATTTTCGTTCGTCATTATAGCAAAGCTCAGGTTAACTGGTCGATTTGAAGTGAAACAGTTGACGACACCCGTCAATTGTTTCGAACCCGGGCTAGCCAATCGGAGCGCAGTTATCACAGTAATGATATGGCAGAATAGTTTTCAAACAAATTCAATGACATTTCGTCTCTATTTCTGGTTGTATACTCGATGACTGGGACTCATTTTTTACACAGCCTGTATGGTCTCATACATTCTTCGGTATAACTCTGAGCACGCAGCGATCTGCTGTAGCCACACTTTAATTTAAACACGCAATTCTTCACGTCTTCTATAGCAAATTAGGCTCACGTTATGGCAACTAAGCCACGGAACGAACCAGGGGGTCTACTCTCGATCTCCGTCCGACATCCATCCGAAACAATTACTGCCAAATAAGCAATACTTGACCAAATGAAAAGACGCGTGATGCGAATTACGCTTCATTGTTGATACTTGTTTTTTAATTTTGTCGAATATTACTTATTTGACAGTAATTGTTTCGGACGGATGTCGGACAGAGTTCCAGAGTAAACCCTCAGTTGTGTACGTGCTTATTTTTTTTGTATTTGGTTTTCAACGACTTTATAGTCGTAGTTATGAGAAATCTATAAAGCATTTCGTGTTCGATATCACTCTTTATGTGGAGGCAGCCTGGTGATGGAGAAACAATAATAAATTGGCACCAAATAAACTAAGACACGTTTATTCTGCCATCTTGCATGTAAGTTTTACATAGAGTAAAATGGCGCACACGCGGGAAAATTATGACGTTTCGTTTCGTTGGTATTACATAAGTAGCCAACCTAACAATTATTGTTGGAATTGCCAACATTTCGTCACCCAGTTAGGTACCTTTACAGCTACCAGCCCTGGCTAGACTTGTCGCTATTAACTTGTAATTAAATATTTTATTCAATGTCAAGAGGTTTCGCCACAATGATAATCAATTATTTTTTGTGAAATTACTAGTTTTGTTCTAATTATTATTAATACAAAGATCGAACACTTGGAAAAGATTCTAAGTGTATATATTTTGTTAATTCCTTGTATTAAAAAATAAACATTATATAAACCTTCAAATAGCATGTATTTATAAAAAAAAAACATTTTGTGTATTATGCAAAATTGGTATGGAGCTAACACAGGTATAACCTTGAAATAATAAATCGGTTTTATCTTCTGAACAAAGGGGAGACTAATTCTAAAATTTCACTACTAGAACCGACTAATTCTCGACTTTTTCTGGGTACAATCATATCTAAGCTAGGGGCAGTGGTTCTCGAGATTCAAAAATGGGTCCGCCGGAATAAACTTAATTCAGCGTGGACAGTAAAACACCTTAATAACTTCAAAACGGCGTAACGACTAAATCTAATTTTTTTAGTGTAGATAATAAGATCTAAGCTAGGTGTTGTGGTTCTCGAGATTGAGAAATGGTGCCGCGGCTTATTCCAGCGTGGACAGTAAAACAGGGCTATAACTTTTGAACGGCGGACCGACTAAATCTAGTTTTTTGCGACTACAACCGACTAACTAGCGACTTTTTTCTGGCTAGTCAAATTTCAAAATCTCGACCATGGTCACGCCGGAGTAAGGATACGCATCATAACTAGCGCAAATCGAAATTTTTAGCAACATGGAGAACATATCTGGAGTTCAGCGAAATAATATTATTTACAACCGCCTATAAGCAGCTTTTTTATATTTTATTTAGTAGCATTATTAACATTTTTTAAAGAAAAACTTTAGGTGCCGATATCTCGAAAGTTTTTTTTACTATTATTGTTATTTATTAATTTATTTGTACTCGGGTTACAAAGACTCATAAATACGTACCTTATAGGCTAATATACATAATAATACAATAAAACATTCATATAATATATACCTTAAGGAATAACATACATACAATATAATAAAACATTATTTCTAACTAATCTAAACGAATTGCACTTGTGAGTGACGTGTGACGCAATCTGGTGTCAGGTAACCGGCCGCGGAATCGCCGATCTATGTCACCCTTCGGCCAAAATTCTTCCTTCATGAAGGCCGACAGATATTACGGTGGCACTCTCGCCACAAACGAATTTAAAACGTTATGGCGGAACTCTGATCGCTCGACCCTCAGGGTGTATTTGGCTTTATGTACTCCACCATCTCCGCAGTGGAGTAATGCAGCCGTGACAGGTACAGCAGCGTCGTCGGTATGGTCGGACGCAGCAGGAGGTTCGGTCCTTTCAGTACTGTGCCACACTGGTTACGCCTGGTGGGCTTCCTCTTCCTCTTCACCACCTTTCTGAAGCAGTCCTCATCGCACTTGTTATGCAACTTCAGATACAGGCTCACGGGGATTGTTTTTTCTCTTAGAAGATTGTTGCCGGTCGTGTTTATACCAAGTGACAGTACGAATAAGTCCTACGCCTACCCATAACAGCTGCAGTGCCAGAGCTTTAAATCGCAAAGGTCTTTGGGGCACTCTCACAAGTAAAAAAAACTCTCAAAAGTAAAGCGTTGTTTAAGATAACGAGGCATACAGGGGTTGAATAAAGTCGAATACATAGGGGAAAGCCATTTAAGTTATGTGCGAAATTAGCAAACATGATCAAATGTACGTATCCCGAAGATGAACCTTACACACATATTTAAAAGCGCTTGCACTGCCGGCGATACACTCAGCGGTATTTCCAGCGTAACCTTTTTTATAATACTAACTGACGGGACGAACAAGTCGTGTGATGGTAATCGTGACGCCTGTCCCTAACAGTCGCAGTGCCACTCAGAACTTTAAATCGCAAAGGTCTTTGGGGCACTCTCACTGAGCCCGGCACCCTGAGACATAAGTTCACAAGTCCCAAGTGCCTGTAATTTCACTAGCACCCCTACCCATGCTCACGTTACTGCTTGGCGGCAGAAATAGCTAAGGCAGTACTTCCCTGGACGTACTTGTTCACAAGAAGTTCCATAGGTTACTAAATGTATATTATGAAGTGTGTAAAATTATGTAGATACTTACTTCCGTGACTTTTGCGAGTCGCGTGGTTTTCGTTATTCTCGCGATTTGCGCGGCTTCCGTTATTTCCGGGCCTTCGTTGACGAAGCATTGAGGCTATTTGTCGTCTCCGATCTGCTCTTTGGTAGAACGCGTAATCTCCGTCTTCTGCTTCTTTATCCACTAAGCGTCGTACGTATGCTATTTGATTGTACAAACCGTCTGCAATAAAATGTTACCTTTTTTCAAACCAGCACCTACTCACTAATAGGGTTATTTCTGCGGCCGTTGGTTGGAAGAGCGCATGTGACATTTTGTCAAAAAATAAAGGGTTTTTAATTAACCGACTTCAAAAATAGGAGGTTCTCAATTCGTCTGTATGTTACGCGATAACTCCGCCATTTGTGAGCCGATATTGATGATTCTTTTTTTGTTGGAAAGAGGATACCTCGGAAGTGGTCCCATTTAAATTTGAAGAAAATACTCCACCTTTAAGGGTGGTAAACTAGGGGACGAATGACTTTTGAGGTCGATTTTTTTAACTAGAGGTTAGGTTAGGTTATATAATATCAAGTAGAAAAGTGAAGGGAGACCTTTGCCCTGCACTGGGACAGTAATGGCTGAAAAATGAAAAAAAATCTTGTAAGCCACACGCCTGTCCATAACTGTTAGAGTGCCACTCAGAGCTTTAAATCGCATAGATCTGAGACATAAGTTGCCAAGTCCCATGTACCTGTAATGTCACCAGCACCCCTTCCGGAACGCAGTAATGCTTACGTTACTGCTTGGTGGCAGAAATAGGTAAGGTGGCAGCGCTTCCATGGAAAGAGCTCTACTGCTGGGTGACGCCAGACGAGCGTAATCTTTAAGTTAACAGTGAGTCGCGTAATTTAAGCTTTTTAAGCATTGACTTGTAAATAAATGGACGACGGGTCTAATACAAAAACCACGAAAAAAATGTCCCAAGTCAACCTATTTAAACGTAGTGACATGTCAAGGAATATGAAAAGGCTAAAACGTTGAATTTAAATTGTAATGTCATCGCAGTACTGTCTAATTTTGCTTGCTTCGCTGTCAGTCGAACAAACGAAGACTAGAGCGTGAATGACGCTCTGTATACGATTTTAACGCCCTATAAGTTCGGACACTTTTTAGCGCGGATCCGATGTCCATATAATTGTAAGTCAATGATTTTAAGAGTCTATACTATCTCAGCTCGAATTTAAAATGTTTCCCATACTAATACGGGTCAGTTGATATTAAAAAAAATCATTGATATAATATAAAGTACCTATATTGAATGCAACGGTTTTGTAAAATTTCGAGGTAAGTTTGTGTTTTTTTTTCTATCGTTCGTGAAAATTTTGAAGAATCGTTTTTTCACACAAAATATAACCCACGTCCTCTTCAATCTTGTAACTCTATCGACTAATATTGGAGATAGAATTACAAGAATCGGAGAGGATGTGGCATATATTTTTCTGTATCTAATGGAGCAATAAACGTTTTTGACGTAACTCCACTTATGCCATTCCATCACGAGGGGTGCGATTTTTTGCAGTGAAGTCCAAGTTTCGCCGTAACTGCAAAATGTTGAGTTACTTACGCATGAATGAGAAGGCAACCTGCATCTCGTCTGTGTCCAAGAAAAAGGTCTTGGCTAAAGTGATGTTCGACACTTTAACGTACGTCCACAACATGTCCTTAAAAAACTCGGTAATTCTGCCGGCATTAAGGCCTGCCCTGAAGGACATTTTATGTTCGTGTAATTTAATATACTTTTGAGCGTGTGATCTCTTCAAGATAACGTCTGTAAAATAAGAAGACTTTAAAATAGTTTGTCCTTAAGCGTGAAAGCATCAGGTCGGGCGCCTGTCGGGTCGGGAGCCTGTCGGGTCGGGCAACAACATACAGCAGGCACCTCACGTCCTAATATGTAGGCTCGCGTTGAAGATAGCAACGATCTGAAGGGCACTGCCGCCGCGTCTGTCACCCTGAGACATAAGTTGACAAGTCACGTGTGCCCGTATATAATTTCAACAGTAAAGAACCTTTAATTACAACTACATTACGTTGCAAAAAAAACGAGCACTTAAGATACATTCTAATATCAATTAAATTATTTCATAATTATTCATTTTTGTTCTGAATGTTGTTCCATGTTCAATTGGCCGCTAATTTCTCCAATTTTGTCAATTTCTGTTTGTTATCGCCAGTGTGTTTATATATTATTGACAAAATGGAATAATTTTTATCATAAAATGTAAAATTTGGAATGTTCATTATTAACGGTAACTAGGCGTAATTGAACATGGAGCAACATTCAGAACAAGAAATAATTAAATTGAATGCAACCATTCTAAATGTAAACAGTACAGACAATGGTACATTAAGCTCGTCACTTTGGACTGTGGTCCGCTTTTATCCCAAACAACGTAGAGCTGAATTTCTATCTTAATGCTAAACTGTACGTAACAGGAGTAGAAAAAGACAACTAAGAAACGAACTTAATAATCAGATTAAACAAAGCAAAGTGGAAGTGATCAAACCGTGTGAGTTTGCATTTGTACGATTAGATTAGATTAGAGATTAGAGATGGGTCATGGATAAATATCATTGGGATAAATACTCGAGTAAATATCCATATTTTTATACTTATCCAAAAACGTGGATAAATATTTTTAATTGTGGTTTATTATTTATATTTAGTAAAACAAAGTAGGTAAGTATATTTTTAAAAATCTTTGTTTAGGTACCTACACAATTATAAACCTTTATTTTTTATATCATGTGTTTTAATTAATAGACTTTGTGTATGAAATGTGAAAGAGAATCCTTAGGCTATTTTAAGTCCAAACATGACTTTATTTAGTACGCAGTAGACCCCAAGACCATAAAGTTGGATCGCACTTTATTAATGCAGGATATGTCAGCTCAAGGGTTACAATTAATTTGATAACTTTCTGTCAATCGAATTTTTTATACCACTCGACTCGAAAAATGTAGGTAGATCAGTATTGTTACATAAAAGTATGGCAAGAACGTAATTATTTCATAAAAAAATTATTATAAAAAACACAAAAAAATAATTATCCATTGTTTAGGATAAATACTCAGTAAAATTGGATATTTATCGGGTAAAAACCTATCTCTACATACGATGCGTAGCGTTGGCGCTGTAACTGTTAGACAGTGAATGGTACCCTTTAGATTATATCTATGGCTAAAAAACTCCATGGCTTAAAAACGTCACTCTGTCCGCTCTCTTCCTTCCTTTATTTTTTTCCATTTTCTAAATCTCTTTCTCGCCCCGTTCAACACTCGTAGGTTATATAATTTAATTTCCTAT